AAAATTGCGTAAAAAAATATAGAGAAATAATGTAATAATACCAACACTGGTGCATGGATCATGCTGCGGTGATGAGTTTCGAAGCCGATGTCGATGCATGGTACATTTTCATAGATAATGCCACGAAGTGTTCTCGAACGAAGAGTGTGCTGCTGCCATTTTGTTTACGTAAACCTAGGATTAGCTTTTGATTTTTCAACAACTCTTTCCCAAAGCGTTCTTTTCGCAGAGCCGTGTTTCTTTTTTGCTTCTACAAGATAGAACAAACTGGTGAAACTCTAAAACTGAGACGCCCGATAAAAGAATTCTATGTCTCAGGGCGACGATAAAGTCGATTTTTATTTGTTTTTGATGAATACTTTTTCTCGGGGGATCGACAAACAAGCACAGCCCGATACGAACCGTCGGTGAAAATGATATCAAATAGTTTATTATCCCGAATTGTTTGGAATATCGACTATATAGATTTTACGTTCTTGCACGATGTGAAATTCATTCGAGCATCTACTCGAAGATATTGGTGCGAGCCTCGTGTTCCCTGTGTACGCCCGCTAACAAAGCTTACACTCTTCCAATAACACTGGCTACAGCAGTGGGTTTTATTGGCCAGCACAAATGTTTGCCGAGGCGTGAAACTTCTCTCTCTCGGACACAGTCCGGCCAATTTTCTCCGCGGAACCAGCCCGACCTTAGAGGTAACTTATGGAAAAAGTCCTCTAATGGAATGGTGTCGCAACGTATCGCCATCCCTGCTAACGAAACAGCCTCGTTCGTCTCTGTGGGACACACGTGAGTCAGATCGCGCGATAAGAATCTTTTCACACACACGTGTGTGTGTGTGAGTTCAGTTTTGTGTGTGTTTACGCGTTATCATTATTTCTCTGGCGTAATTAAAGGCTGTGAATGCAGAATTTGCAAAGGAGTTAATTACGAAAGCTTCGGTATCGACGTACCTTTTGCGCGCCTGTTTTATAGACACGGCCAAACGGGTGTATGACATTTCTTTCAATAAAAACATTTATCACGCACAGCGAAGAGCACAAGTGTACCGATGACAATGAAAAATTGTCGATGATTTCAACTGTTGCCACTTCGTGAAAAAAAAAGGTCGCATAACGATCCACTTGGTCTCATTTTAGAGCGTGAAGCCCCTACTTTGTGAGTCATGAGCCTTTTTTTCGTGAAGCTGACTTTACATCACGTAGTTGATGGAAAAGTGGCGACACCTTTTTTTTTCGAAAACTGTCAAAATTCGAACGAGTGTGGAAACATTTTTAAAAAATTTTCTCGTGATTGATTCCGCCATGAAACGTTCTCTTGAAACTTGCTGTACAATTTTTTTTATTAAACTTGGAACTGTTAGATGACGAAATGTTAGGATTTCCTGAATTTTTTTAATGCAAAATTATATCTTTGAAGATAGAAATAAAACTTTGATAAAAAATTGTTTCGTGTACTAAATGTTATAAAAAACTTCGGACACTTTGTACACTTTTCTACATCACGCATTCTACTTGCATTCTCTGCAACATTCCACTTTAAAATTATCTTATTTAAATGCATAAAAATTCGCAGTCTATTGGTATTATTCAATGTTCAATAAAATAGAAAAAAAAAAACATTCATGCACCGAGTTTCAAGAAGTCGTTGTAAAGGAGAGATTCAATCTTCATGATGATGAAAAAACTTTTTACACTCGTTTTGAATTTCTAATTCAACAATGACTGTCAAAGTAAAAACTTCAGGCTTTAAAATGAGATTTAAATTCAGTTAATCATTGTGTAATCTATTTTTTACCAAGCTATGTCAGTTTAAATTATCTATAATTTTTCACTATCATTGGTTATGCTCTTCACTGTAACAGTAGGTAAAGTACTTCTTCCAACTCTACGATCTTGACGCACGATAAATTACTATTCGAATACAATCTTCAATCGCCTTTTTACAAAACGAATAGTATTAATATTAATATTAAGTAGGGACAGGCACTGTTCTCCTTTCTCATTATTCTTAATATCATTCTATTTTAAAAAGTTACGTCGACGGTGAATTCTCTGACAAACAATAATCTACGAGAGAATTCAGAGAATTCATTGTTTATCGTAGCCATCCCGTTAATGTTTGAAACGGTTCTCAGGGGATACTTTGTCCAAACGGTCTCGAATTACGAGCGCCTCAACGAGACACTGTTTTTAAGACGAGCATCTTTACTTCAAGTTCGTCACACTCTCAATAATGGATCTTCAAGGCGCGCCAGTTGTTCGAGCGTTCCTCCACAAGCAAAGCACGAATGCCTTGAGCAACGTGTAATCGTTAACCTCGGTTTCTCTTCCTACCTTTCCTCCGAGTTCTGCTTCACATTTAAACACGTTTGTATCAATATATATACGTACGTGTATCTCTGTAATCTCAATTTTCGCGGAAACGGGGAAGCCGGTTATCGCAACGAAGTTATTTCGACGTAATTAACCGTGCCAAGTGAAATTTTCGAATTTGCTACAGTGAATTCTCTCTTCGGTGTTTGTATTTCGCTGAAATGTAGATCGCTCGTTCGTCGCTCAACGCTGAAACCGCAATGGAAATTTTATAGATTTATCGAAACTTGGTGGGTCGTTTCCTAAAATTTATCGAATAACTCGAAACTTCGTTCGCCGATAGTTTCAACGTTAATTGCCTGTAGTCTCTACGAAATTCCAGTTTTTTTTTTTTTTTTTAAATACACGAGTTTCTAAATTTGCCTCGAATTTCGCTGCTGAATTTATCGAACAACTCGAACAACTTCGTTCGCCGATAACGTTCAACGTTAGCCGCTATAAATCCCATAAAATTTAAGTTCGTTAAAAATACACGAGTTCCTAAATTTGCCTTGAATTTATCGAACAACTCGAAACTTCGTTCGCCGATAGTTTCAACGTTAACTGCCTGTAGTCTCCACGAAATTCCAATTTTTTTTTTTTTTAAATACACAAGTTCCTAAATTTGCCTTGAATTTTCGCTGCTGAATTTATCGAACAACTCGAACAACTTCGTTCGCCGATAACGTTCAACGTTAGCCGCTGTAAATCCCATAAAATTTCAGTTCGTTAAAAATACACGAGTTCCTAAATTTGCCTTGAATTTATCGAACAACTCGACACGCCGTTCGCCGATAGTTTCAACGTTGACAACCTGTAGATTCATACAAAATTTCAATTCCCTAAAAATACACAAGCTGCTAAGTTTGTCTCTCGTAACGAAGGTGCAAACGGCCTGGATTCCAAGTTGAGAATTGGAATCTCGTTGGAAGTTCGAACTTTCTTTTCACGGCGGTAACTCGCGGCTGGCGGGTGAACCGTCGTCGCTAATTCCGGTAGACGCCGCGGAAACATAATGGCTGATTTCACGGAGTTCGTAAACGCGTGGCGGAGAGAGCCGTTGAATGAAACACGAGAGGTTCACGTGGGTGGGTTCAACAACAGCTGCGGACCATCCACTCCTGAAATTGTTCGGCACGGAAATTACCGTACAGCACCGTTTCGTCGTTGGAACTTCCTGTTGCGGTGCAACGCCGCTATTTTCACCGGCGCGCCGAGTTTTGTTTGACGCCCTAGAAAAGCAGGAGCTTGTCGCCACGACCTGATTTCCACTGCGGTCCGAGATCGAAAATCGGGAAAATCTGTCGAGTCGTCTCGACAAAATTACGGGAAACTAAACTAGTTTCCTTAATCGCGTTACGGTGTTTTATCGATTATTATTCCTGGTCGAGGGGACGACGAGGCAGTCCGCGTATAACTAGGTGGAAACTCAATGGCGTTCTTGGGGTAGTTTAGATTATCCGGCCTGGCATAGGGCGGTAATTTGGTTGAACCTTCGAGTTCAAGCTAGTTCGTCCTAGGATCCCGTGAAGTATCCCGCTGGCTGTTGCCGAAGCTTTCGGCTTATGCCCAAAATTGGCAGCCAAAGCGGCCTTCATGCGACGAGTGGAAAATTAACCCTTTGCACTCGATTGTCCCTTATGTGAGAGGACTTACTTATAAATCTGGCCACCTTAGCTCGAACTTACGCTTTTTATAATTTATTGATAATTATAACGAACTATTATATTATATAATAGTATACTATCTGAACAGACGTCTAGAGTGAAAACTATAATAACGACGTAAGAAGAACAAAAGAATTTCTGGAGAAGAAACTTTTGTAAACAGTCTTTTGAGTCAATTGACATTACGAAAGTTCAAAAAATAACGGAGGATATTATTCTTGCAGAGATTACAACTGTTATTGACTCTTGCATATATTATACTTGTTCTAGTAAACACGCAATGCACTGGTTGCTTTAAATTTAAACGTTGCTTTAAATTTAATATTGCACGTTGGAAAGATATAATCGAAAAAATTTCGTGTTAAATACCATTTAAATAATTACTTCCAATGCTATATCATTTGAAGAGACGATGCTTCGTAAATAAATTACTAAATAATAATAATTGACGGTGCATGGAAAGTTTGTCGAGAGTAAAGGGTTAGAAGACAGCGGCAGTCGTCGTTCTCCGATACGAGTCCGGCGTTGTCCGACATTGTTCCCGTTGTGTCTCGAGAAAATTTCATCTGGACTCTCTCTCTCTCTCTCTTCGCCGAGGAACAACGAGAATCCTTGGCTGTTGAAAGAATGGCCGATTGAAAGGGAACTTTGCGCGCTCGTTTCTCGCGCGTTCGTGGTACTTCGTCGTTTGTCTTGGCCGTAAAGCCGAGACGAGAGTTACCTCAAGGGTCCTTGAAAGAAGAAAAGGAGAAGATGAGACGAGCGTGGAACAGTGAGCGGAATCGCGTTATTGTTTCGGTTATTTTAATTCCGTCTCGGAAATAAAGAGGCTGGAGAGATAACGTCCTAGCATCCTCGAAATTGAATGTGCCGCGGCGCGCGACACGCTGCTGCGTTTCTCTATCGCGTTCGTCTGCGCTCTCTTAATTACTAGCGCGGACGGTGTACTAATTAACAGAAACGGCGTTCTCTGTTCTAGGTGAGGCGAGGACGTGAGGGCTGATCCGATGAATGGGGCTCAGCTCTGGCACAGGTATTGTCTAGAAATAATTTCGATGGGCACTATACTTCTCTCTACGCCAGAGGAGTAGCCGGCCAATCGGCGCCTCTTGGCCGTACCTTTCATTCACTCTGTTTCTCAATATTCCACGTCCATTTTGTCGAGCTATTTCGTCGTAGTTCTGGAGAATCGGTGTAATTAAGCCAGCGATGTAGGCCACCCTAGAGACGCGTGTCATTTTTCCATTCGTTTTATCTCCCTCTCATCTCCAGACGATCTCGCGCGAGATGAAAGATTGAAGCGTCAGTCCTCGAATCTAATTTCGAAATTTTCGCCGATTGATTAATACGAAATTTGACACTGCGCGCGATGCTTTTGACCCTTGGCACTCGACTGCCTCCTCTGAGGACATCGTACTTAAATCTAGCCAACAGGTAGACTGGACTTCCTCTTTTTATAATTTACTGATAATTATAACGAACGTATATGTTTGGTGTTGTATGATGTGTATAATAGTATAATATCTGAACAGACGCCTAGAATGAAAGCTATAATAAAGACGTTAGAAGTACCTAAAATAACTATTTCAAGAGAAAAAATTTCTGAGGACAGTCCCGTTGGAATGATTCACGTAATTCACTATTACATAGACTTATCGCTTTTTACGAAAGCGTTTAAAAAATGGCGGAGGATATTATTTTTCCAGAGATGGAAACTATTCGCATCATTAACTCTTGTATATTATACTTGTTCTGGCAACGATTGCTTAAACGATGTCACACGTTGGAAAGATGAGCAAAATTTTTCTTGTTAAATGCCATTTGAAAGATTATTTCCAATGCTGTGTTATTTTATTTGTCGTGATGATGCTTCGTAACTAAAAAACAGAAAAAGTTCGTCGAGGACAAACAAAGGGTTAAGCGACACGGAAATTCTTTCCTCGGTAAAGCTTTCCTCGCAGGTCACGCGTACAGAGTGAAAGAATTGCGCTAAGAGAACGATCTCGCGCGGGAATTTCCGATTTTAAACGAATTCACTTCTTAATCTAGCTCTTGCAAGCATTTGTCGCGACGAGGGATTAATCAACGAGTCGTGTCCTCCAAAGAATTTACCTGAGATTTCTCGACTACGTTCCAACGTCCTGCCTTCTAATATCCTTTGTCTTCCGCGTCGCATCCATATGCAATGAAAATTGCACGATGATAGGTTCGGACCACAAGGTGGATGTACCCGGTGTTCCCATTGATCTCATTGAAATTCACACAGCGTTACACCGTGTTTGACGTGCCACCGGTGCGCAGTCGTGTTGACATTGATTATACATCATCAACATTTACGTAACAGTGGCCATTGCAACGCGGAACTTGAGAGTGAAATCTTCGTTTCGAAGATTGAACGTTCCGCGAAATAATGGCGAACGCCACCTGCGCGATTTCGTGATCGATCGATGTTTGTCGCCGAGTTACTGCGGCCACGATACACATCGAGCTAATTCCTGGCGGAATCCCCCGCAAGATTCACGGTCCTGTCCAACAGTCGGCGAAATGGCGGGCGCGGAATTCAAAGAGATTCCACTCGAGACTGCGACAGTGGCATGCGTATCGAGTTTCGATCGACGAACTGGCGACGCGAGCCAGGGTTGTTCTTCCTTGCTTGGAGTTTACAATCCTCGGCGAAACAAAAATGGGAAACGTCGTGGACGGTCGGAGGGAACGTTATAGTCAGATTATGACGACGCTAACGTTAATGCCAAGTGGAACGAAAATCAGGCTCGTCGGATCGATCGAGTACAGCGATGAGCATGACACCAACGACAAAGATTGTCGTTAATTTAAACTGATGTAACGTTTAACGATCCATTTGGAACATTTTGGAAGCTTTCATCATGACAGTCGTGAGTTCGTTTTTTTTTTTTCTCATCGAAAATGATTTTACGTTGATTTTTACAAACGAAGATGATTTACGTGTAAAGGGTGAGAAAGTGAGGACACTTTCTTTTTTCGAAAATTGTCAAACTTCAAACGTGTGTAAATACGTTACGATCATCGTAAAGAGAAAGTTTCGGTCTTCAAGACCGTGGCAGAGATGAGAAAAATTTAATTATGAAAAAAGCTTTCTAATGTTTCTACACACGTTTGAATTTTTACAATCTTTCTCATCCGCTATACGATGTGAAATCATTAAAAAAGAAAAAAAAGGAATGAATTTTTGACAAAAATTTTACGCTTTAAAATAAAAGTCTTTTACGAACTTATATCAATTTACATTGTCGACAACTTTTTATCATCATCGGTACAATTATACTCGTCTGTACGCATTGAATTGTTTGAAGTAATCATTTTTCGCGTGCGAGCTTTTCAAAATGTTCGGTAAATTCAATCGATTTCCGCGACATGATATTTTTTCCCGTGCAGCTCATACGTAACCCTTGTCCCCTTTGATCAATCGAAATTTTCAGTTCCTTTAATCCGATCAATTCCGGACGGAACTGGAAATAACAAACGGATCGCGAGGAAAAACGAACGTTTCGTCCGCGTTGTTTCGGAGCGTTAATGGAGAGGAGACTCGGCACGCGATTCCAAATCAGCGCGAGCGCCTCGAGCGTCAAATACGGAGTTAAGGGAGCATTAAGCTGGTGAGATTTAAATCTAATTCGCGATATACGAGTATCACGGCGCGTATCACCGTGAAGAGCGTCGCTCCTCGAACGACGTCGTAAGAAGGCGCACTCGGCTCTTTTTATATTAACGCTGAAGCCAGCCCCGGGGCCATCGTGGCCATTGCGGCCGTCCCTAAACTCTCTTTAAAAATACCAGGCTCTCGTTGGTAACGCGTCACGCCGTCAGCCGTCTCCCCGGGGAGTGGAGCACGGCGCTTTTGTCCCGCGGTCGAACAGTGTATGTACGTACTTTGAAAAATTAAAGGGCCGAGAGCCTCGGTCGTTGCCGTAACTCTCGCATTGCGTTGTCGTTTACATTTAAACGCGGGCTCTCGTTGCGCGTCTCGATTGTCTTGGAAAATAATTAAAAACAGAAAAAAAAAAAAAAGAAGAAGAAGAAGAAGAAAGAAAGAAGAAGAAAAACACGGGGAGGAAAAAGCTTCTTTCACCTAGGACGTTTTTCTCTTTTTTTTTTCCTCGAGAGCTTTCCGCGTTTTCTTCTCCGCGTCGTCCCTTTTATCCCTTCTGGCTCGTCTTGTTCGTCTTTCGCCGCGAGGGAAAGGCGCGAAAGGCACTCTCGCAGGAGCCAAGGGGAGAAAAGCGGTCAGAAAGCGTGAGAGAAATGGCGGCGCGAGGGGGTGAAGGCTCGAAGGGACAGGGGGTACGTGGCTTATCTCGAACTCGACACGCTGAAAGCGTTTCTGCTGCTTTTACCGTGCCGGTAGACAACGGTTGAGTGGCGGTTGCCTGGTACGTATTACGGCCTTTTCCCTTTCCCTTTGCTTCCTGCCAAGCTTCCGGGTGACGCGACGATTGCAACCGGTCGCTGAATACGATCCTAATTGGAACTGAGAGCCCCGATCTGTAATGCAACTGTGATCCTTGTGTCTTGCAGCAGCACGCGTAACGAGTCCTCTTCCATGAACTATCGCCGTTCGTCGAAACGCGTCCCTTGATTGTGCGCTTTAACAAATAATCGTGCACGTTCCCTCCTGCGCAAGGAAACGCGCGATCGACCCATCATTGTCGTGGATACGGCGTATAACGATAACGAAGTCTTTGATCATACTTTCAACTGCTCAACGAGTCTCACGCGGTTCTCAATTGTGAATGCTGGGCATTCTAATGTGACTCTACAGCCTTGTGTAAAAATCAGTCGGAGGTAAAGAAGGAATAAAGTTTTTCCGTATGAAAAGAGCTTCGTTTTTCTTTTTTTTCTTTTTTTTTTTTTTTTTTTNTTTTTTGAGAAAATCGAGTTTGATATTTTGTCAAGTATACCTGAATTTTGCTAATTCCAGGAAGGAATAATTAATGGAAGGCTGTGTACAAAAATAAATAAAAACTGGAGCTTCGTTTTAAAGAAAACTTAGACTCTCAGTATGTTTCGGTAGAAATTGCCTCGGTGCACGTGTATGTATGTGCTCTTACAAAAAAATTTTATTCTACCTCTTTTTGCACGTAGAATAACCTATTGTTAATTATTCTCGTCGCGTCTAGAAATCATCTAAATTTAAGTGTAACTTGATAAATTTTCAATTTAAATTTCAATTTTCTCTTCGTATGGAAACATTTCGTCCTTTCTTTATTTTTACGTGTAGAATTACACCGTGGCTGCTACTTGTGCTACGATTTCGGCGACACCCTGTATATCAATCTCATCAATCTGCCACTCGCGACACACGTGCATCCCCTGAATCATTTTCACCGACAATATTTTACCTCTCTCGGTAATTACAGAATCTTTGCACAAGTGTTGCCGATACTCTCGAGGAAACGAGCGGCTGCTTTTTCGCGCATAATGGCATTGTGCGACTTTCTGAGTACGCGAGGGACGAGGGTCCGAGGGTAGAGCGTCGAATCAGGTACAGAGGAACGGCGGATAAGGAACGAGATTGCGGACTTGTCATTCGGAACGATCGCTGAAGAAGGATTAATTAGCGAGAGTATAACGCGGGTTGACCTTTGCTGATGGTTTCAATTATTACGTCGCGTCGGGTCGGATCCCGTCGGTTTTCCCGCTTGTTGTCCCGTGTCAAAGTGACGAAGAGCTCGGGGAGAATAGCGCCGAGGAGAGGGCAAAGTTCATTCGTCAAAACGGTTCCCCCGCGACGACGAGATCGAAGTCGATTTTCAAATAAACAACTGGCCGGCCGCCGGTACAAATCCGCGGCTGATTGCTGGCCATTGTGCACTCCTGAATCGCGTCCCTCTATCTTGTTGAACGTTGTTTAACTGAAAGGCAGTCATTGCCGCGGCTCCGCGGCAAATCGAATCGAAAACTGGCGGGTTCGTTCGCGTGTTTGTTTTTCGGCTGGCATCGCGAAACTATGCGAATCTTCCTCTCCCGTCCATGTTTTACCATGAACGACAGAAC